TCTTCCCACCAGATCCCCTTGTTCAAAGCCCCTTGGTAGACAAGGCCTCGATTCTACCTTCAAAGCAGAGGTATGTGGGATTCTTCTTACTACCCTGCGTCTACCTAACTATCTCCTTTTCCATCTGGGGAATCCTCTTGTAAGAGTAGCCTTCCCAGGCTGATCGAAGAAGAGCTGGAACTTTTTTCCCCTCTTCGATTTGGATTTGAAAATCACAAAAGTTATTTTCACCACTCTTCATCTTCTCTCCACCCAACTTGCCGTGAATTCTTACAAGTCCTATCTTCATCCCTAACAAAGTGTATTTGTTTATTCTGGGCCTGTTTGGAAGTCTACTTCAGCTACCTCAGTTAGTGCTATGCTGTGTGTCACCTGTATAGACACGTCTAATCCCTGCAGTGTCTTCATTGTAAACTCCATGGTGGCCAGGACATGTCACACGGGTTCCCCCGTCACTCTCTGCCATGTGCTGTAAGCTCTTACTCCTCTGATAATGATGAGCTAAGGGAAACCAGCCTCCTGAGATTCTCAAAGATTTGAGCAACAAATGGAAAAGTAAATATACATACACATATGTGTGCACATGCATGTGCGTGCACATGTACACACGCATGCCCACACACAGACATGCACGTATGTCTCCAACACTACCAGGCATCCATGACCTATGGGCAATCATGGTAGCTAAGTTTCCTTTCTTCCCGCTAACTCATTCGCAGCCACTGACTCTAGCCTGAGTTTCTGTATCAAACAAAACTCTAGTTCCAACGAAAAGGACTGAACTTTCTGGGCTTGAGAAAAAGTTTCTAATAAACCCAACGCAGCCAGCAGATGCAGAATGGCAGGAAGTGCAATCTGCAAGCACCTCCATGCCCTGAACCGCCAAGATACCTAATTAGGCTATGGAAAAATGCAGTACATTTCATATCATCAGTTTCAAAAACTACAAGGAACCAATTATCCCTCAGAGCTGTCACAGGAATGGAGAGTTCCTCTTGGAAACCCCGATTCTCCTCCTGGGCACAATTCAAAACAGAGAGAAAAGAAAAATCAATACTGGCGATGTCAGAGATTCTCCTGGCCAGTATCTTAGGGACATCTCTCTAGGCCCCTGTAGATCACACGGCCTGTCCTCTCTGTGTGCAGATGTGATATGAACACTGGTTTCCTACCTGCTGTCCCTTGCCCTTCCCTTGGGTCATTTTCATGATTCTTCACTAAGGTTATTCTTTCTGTGAGTCTTTCTTTAAAGCTATGAAATCAAAATGTTCACTTTCAAAAGCAGAGTGAAGGAGATGGCTGCATACGTGGTAAGCTCTGAGTCGGGGGTCAGGGTCCCAGGAGGGGACAGACTTCACTGCTGAACGCAGGTGCCTGGGCACGACCATCTGAGCCTCGGCATTGAGGAACCCAGCACCCAGGGAGCCCACTTGTCACCTTCCTGAACAACCACATCCATGGTTCTGGTGGCTTCCCTGTCCACTCCTGGGTTCTGGTCCTCATTTGTTCTCAGACCTTCCTCCACCCCCTTATTGGGGGAATATACTTTCTGGAACCCCTTCTGCCTTGCTCTCATGAGTCTCCATCTGAGAGTTCAATGTGAAGGCCAAGCTTACCTCTAGAACACATTAACTGCCACGCGAGTTGTATATAACTCATGCTAGTTTTCAGACCAGGGCCTCGTGAAGCAAAACCTGGGCAAAAGCTGCTGCTGGTTCATGAAAATCTTACTTATTGACGTACTTATTATTACAATCTATATTGACAATTCTAAAAATGTGGATTAAATGAATAGAAGTCAAATTTTGTTTTTCGTTAAATTTTTCATTAAGTTCGAAAGAATCATTTTTTTCCCCAAGTTTTTATTCTATTTTTGTAATAAAACACCATGGCCCCAAGGAAAATATTTTTTTCCTAGTGTGGCAGTCAGTGTGACAAGCTGTCCCTCCAGATTTCCCTCTTCATATGGAGATTTCTTCTGTAGAGTGAAGGGCTTGGGACCACCCCATTTTCTAGCAGTGTCTGGCCCTGGGCTTTCCAAACCCGAGTCTCTCTTGAACCACCTTCCCGATTAGGGCCATAGCCAGGGACACCTACCATATTATTCTTTGCATACTATTTTTCTTAAATCAATCCACTTTTTAAAAACCTAAATATGTTTAAAAAGGAAACTATAGCAACATCCTTTACTAAAAGTAGAATGATCACCTCAATGCCAATAAAATAATGTCATGAAACCCTAACTAGACAGTGTCCCCAGCTGAAGACACTAAGTTTGAGGCCCGCTCCTACTTCCTTAAACAAAGGAGAGTGCCAAGTCCTGGAGGAGTATAAAGGATACAATGGCCCAACCCAGGACACTCTCCAGCACAATCCTAAGGGCTAAGAGAAAATAAAACAGGGCAACACTTTCTAACCACAGCTGAATGTTGCTGAATGCCATTGCGTGTGTCATCCAAAATCATTCCAGGTATCTGGGGTGGATACTCCCATCCTGTCTCCCAAGAATGTTTACTGGGCATCTACTATGTACCAGGGACTGTGTAGGGAGTAGGGTACCGAACACAATAAGGAAAAAAAAAAAAGCTCTGTGCCATATGATACTTAAAATCTATTATACATTGGGGGAAAAAAATGTCTAGGAGAGCCTCTTTCCAGTTTAGCACCTTAAATAAGGAAAACCCCAGATTCAAAACTGAATACCAGTTCCCATCCCACACTCCCCTCCCTGCAAGAGACCCGGCATTTGCCAAGCAGCGTCTCTGATTATGCTCCAGATAGGAAATGACAAGTGGTTATTAGTTTTTGAGTAACACGCAAGCTTTGTAAGCAGTATTAACCGCCCCCGAAAACCTCAGGGCTTCCCAGATAAACAAGTCCCCACCCAAATGCCCTTCCCTACCCGTCGGAGGGGTAGCCCCCCGTGCCAAAAGACAACTGACATTTTAAACCACACCAAACCGTGTCTCTTTTAAATGTCAAGCAGGAAGGCAGCTCAGCTCAGCAGGTTTCTCCAGGACTGATTGAAAAACCACTTCTCTGTAGCTGGATTTAAAATCAATCGATAGAGACAGCAAGAGAAAAAAGCGAGGCCAAGACTGACCTTTGAGTCAAGGGCAACCGAAATGATTCACATTTGTGACTAATTATCTCTTTCTTCATCTTTATGTTTGTCTCTCCCCGAGCAGGAGCTGTCTGTCTTCCAAGCAGCGGAGACATATGACCCGAACGCGTTCCAGGCTTCTGTTGGGTCTCGGTTTGTCCAGATTTAGAGGAGTCGTTTTCTGCTGTGTGTGTTTGTGTCTTTAAACAACTGACATTTGTCATTCTTTTAAAGTGCACATAAAAAAAAAGTTTAAGCTTCCTGAATCTTGCAAAGAAAAAGGATAAAAGGATGCCTGCCTTATTTTTAAAACCTAAAATCTTTTTAAACTGTCTTAAAAGTATGCAATAACACTTGGACTCGGAATACTATCGCCAGCCTGAACCAAGATGTTATGCATTTTAATGTTACTTTCCCATTAAAAGGGATCAATTACACTTTAGAATAATAACACATAGGCACCTGCATAAATTTAATAAACACTTACCATCCTGTCTTACTCTTTATGAAGTGCTTACAAAGCACTTTATAAATAACAATTTATTTAGTCCTCATGACGACCCCATAAGGCTTGGTCCTGTTAATATTACCCGTGTTTTACAAAAATAGAACCAAAACCCAGAGAGCTAGTAGGTGGCTCTGCTGGGCTCCGAACCCAGCAGTCTGCCTGTGAGGGCCATGATCTTGACCACTACCCTATGCCACCCCCTACACACTATGTGCTGTGTGCTTTGTGTGTTATTTCATGCAAACCATACCATAACCTCATCAGGTAAGTCATATTTTTATTCCATTTTACAGATAAGGAAACTGAGGCACAGAGAGGCAAAGCAGCTTGCTGGAGACCACTCAGCAAATAAGTGAGAGCCGGGGATTCTGACTTCACTAAGGTGTCACCCTGTTAGTTACTCATTGTCACCCAACGCCTTCCACGCCCCCACCACCATATGCCTTTGATTAGAGGCAGGAAAGCTGCCTGTGTCTGCAGAGTAGAAACTATCCTCTAATTGGACCTGGAACCTCGAGCTCATTAGTCCCGTGAGGATATTGTATAAGGAGGAGGGAAGTTTGATTGTCTGATCTATCTTTAACAGAACACACCAGGAGGCTTAGTGACAAGAAATAACTTGGCTTAGGGGCGCACATAATTACATCCAATTAAACGCCAAGCATGGGAGTGGGAGAGAATGTCCTTAGAGCAATAGCTCTCCAAGTGTGGTTGGTCCAGGGTCCCCTGGAGGCTCCCCCAGGCCCTTTCAAGGGATCTACACAGTCAAAACAATTTTTTTCAGTAACACTGAGCTGCTTCTGCCTTTTCCACTGCGTTCTCCTGAGGCTACATGATGGGCAATATCACAACAGGTTGAATGTGAAGCCGGTATGAGACTCCAGCTCTCTCCTAAGAGGCAAGACAGTGCTGGGATTTGCAAACACAGAAAACGATGCCACTCTTCTTTATTCCCAAAGTTAGTGTTCATAAAATGCTATTTGTTGCTGTAACTAATGATCACCAAGGGGGGGAAATGCTATTTGTGCTATTATGTAATAAACATTATTTAAATGAATTAAGACATGTGTGAAAGCTTCTCAGATTTAATTTCTAATATGGTAAAGACAGACAGACGTGACTCAAATAAGCAATATATATATATGTATTTTTAACAAATGTAAAGGGGTCCTGAGACTTGCTGCATAAGACTGCAGTGTCTGTTAATTGCAGGGACCACACTGGCCTGGTGGCCTCTGCAGCCACTGCACTGCAGTGCTTGGCACACAGCAGGGACTGGAGCATGTAGGTCTGGAGGCAGGAATGTCCAGTTTTGCACAGTATTGGCCATCCCTTCAGGTACAGGGGCCCACATGCATGATGACGGATGCCGAGACCCACATGGCTTACCTGGAAATAGTCTGTAATGAACGATCCAAGTTCACTCTTCAACAGCCGCCTGGGGAGAGAGAAACACCGTCAAGCAGCCCTTGATGGTACAGCTCGTGGTGATGAGCTCACGGCACTTGACAATGACGATGTGATCGCCAGTGGCACAGGGCTGGGGCCAGGCCTAAGAAAGGAGTGCACTTTCCCAGGACCTGATAACCCGCCCAGCCCCCACTCTCATCAGGGAGTTGCAGTGATGGAAACCCTAAAACAGGGGTCCTCAAACATTTTAAACAGTTTTAAACAGGGGGCCAGTTCACTGTCCCTCAGACCATTGGAGGGCCATTGGAGAGTGAGGTGCACATTCCACACATGCGCACTGTGGACCGGGACAAGTCGGCTGCTAAGCAGGACAGGCAGCGGCTGCAAAAACACCCGGCAGGCTGGATAAATGCCCTCGGCAGGCCGCATGTGTGGCCCACGGGCTGTAGTTTGAGGATGCCTGCCCTAGAAGATCTGCTCCTTAGCTCACTCTGGGAAAGTAACCATCTGAAGAGGGCAGCCACCAGAAATCCTAACTCTAACAGGATATGCAGGAGCAGCCCAAGGCACGTGGCTTCATATGAAGCAAAAAGCAGCAAGGAAGAGAGAGGCCATCACCATTTTGCAATCCTCCACATCTGCAGAGCACTTTATAGTTTAATCACATTTTTCATACATTCTTTAAGGACCGTGAGGTATGTGTGCATGTGGGGTAGTTAATTATTATTCTTCCTATACAGACAAAAACAAAACCAAGGCCCACAGAGGGCCCCCAAATAAGCCAGAGCCAAGATTTGAACCCAGTCCTTCTGCAAATCCAACATCTTTTCCTGTAACCCTACCCTGTCTCTCCTCCTAATCCATCAGGGACTCTCAGACTTGAAATTCCACTGGGTGCCATGGTTCGGGGTGGTCTCACCACTCATCCCTGACACACGGAGGCAACTGTCAAAGGGGACCACAGCAGGGGGGTGGAGATTGTATTCATCCAGCAACAGACTAGTATTGAGCTGCCCTTTGAGGGCCAGACGCTGTTCTAGCACCAGGAGTACAAAGGTGAGCACGACAGGTAAGGGCTCTACTCTCTGGAGTCTCTACTCTCGGGGGTTGGTGGATAGACAGCACACATTAATAAATATACTCAAGATTATTTCAAAGAATCTTAAGTGCTCCGCCCCCCACAAAAAAATAAGAGCTATGGAACCAGCTCTCCTTCTCCTTGTGACAAATAATGGGGCCGTTGGTGTGATCCAAAGGAGGTGAGACAGCTCAAAACAAGACTAACTGGCTTCCCAGAGCCAACGCGTTCCCCAGGGAGCAAACTCTTCCTGACTTCAAATGATTGCTTTTACTCAACCCACGGCTACGGTTATTAAGGAACAAATGCTCAAGCTTCTGACAACCCTCCCTGGTATTCCCTCCCCCCAGGACACGTTCACACACGTCACTGAGGGGTAAACAGGAGGCTACAGCAAGATGTTCTGTGCAGACAACAGGTACAATAGCATTGAGACGGAAGAGAGAAACACCCATGACCTAACTTTCTGTACCAGAAAGAGCCCTGGAGAGCTGCAAACATGCGTCTGTGGTGGACGCTGCATTTTGAGATCCAATTTCATGGCAGGCTCCTGGCAGGCCACCCCATCAACACAACCCAGGGGTTCTCCCAGGTGTGGGCAGCTCTCATCAGCGACGGGGAAGCCTTTGTCAAAAGGCACTGAGCTAAGAGCAGGTTGGGCATTGCTGGTCTTCGAGGCAGAGACCTCTCTCAGATAGGAAACAGCAACCAAGTGGGCAGCCAGCCCTGAGTGGATAAGAGGAGGCTTTGGAACAGGAAGAGGTAATAAGAGTCTGCTTCTGACCACAGGAGACAGAAACACCTCCTAACAAGGTCTTGGTGGCCATTGGGAAGTCTCAAGCCCATAAGTGAGGCTGGGCATGGCAGCTCACACCTATAATTCCATCAGGGAGGCTGAGGCAGAAGGATAATTTCAGCACAAGAGGTCGAGGTTGTAGTACTCTAGCCTGGGCAACAAAGCAAGACCCCATCTCTTAAAAAAAGAAAGAAAGAAAAGAAAAGAAAACAAAAACATAGGTGAAGATGCCAAGCTTCACGAAAAAGTGGAAAAACAAGTCCTAATAATGAGCCACTCAGGGCAGAGCCTCTGCCAAGGATCGCTCGGGTACTCACGATGCTGTGAGATCAAATGACACGCTGCTGCCCTGGTGTCCCGAGAAACCCACGTGGGAAAACACTGTGCTCGTGGAGATGCCACGGGTAAGATGGAACTAGAAAGAGGTCAGGGGTAAGGGGGCCATCAAGGTCAAAAGCCACCTGGAACAACAGGGAAGAGGGAGCTGTGCTGGCGTAAAAACTGTACACTGGGGCTGGAGGTGATTATTCCAGTGACGACTGCCCCAGGATGGGTCACAGTGGTGAAACATGATGCTACCAATTGAGGAATCCAAGAGGTCTTCTCCCCTCCCTACCAGGAGGAGGCTGCACCCCACGGGGAGGGGGGAGGCACCCTTACACCGAAGCCAAGGCTGCAGAGAGCCACAGCCAAGGCCAGCACTCTGCACAGTGTCACGGGAGGACAAAATCAGCCAGTGACGGAGCAGAAGCTAGAGGAGATGATGCGACTGCCAAGACAAAGACTTAGCAGAAAGGACTCTGAAGCTAGACGCAGCCACAGCAGCAGCGCTAGGACCGTCGTGGGTAAGAATAAAGCAGCAGAACGTGAAGCGGTGCCTTCCGCCACGCTGACGGGGACGGGGTGATGACTAGTTCTCTGCTGAGGAGAAACCCGACACAGATGTGGGAATCTGCTTTATGTACTTTACACATAATGGACCATGACCAAGTACAGCGGGAGAACTGCATATGTGTCCCTTTATCAAATCCCGAGTTCAAAACCCTCCCCGCTGTTATAGAGTCATCTGGACAGTAAAGACGCCACCTGATCATCTGAGTCGGGATGCTAATGTCCTGGGTGGGCAATTACTGCACTTCGAGTCTGTATTAGCTATAATATGGTCTGGTTTCCTGTGGGCCCTTTGAACTGAAATATATAGCTCCTTCATTTTTTAAACACACACACACAAAAAGACATGCATTAAAAAAATTATATATATAAAAAGTCACTAATGTGTGTGTGTGTGTGTACAAATAAAAGCACTAGGTTGTGTGCCCTCCTCTCCACCCCATCCCCCCAGTAAGAGAGCGGAGAAGCTGGAAGTTAGTGCTGGAAATTAAGCAGGGCAACCACACACTCTACCCAACTTTATTCTCTGAAGTTCAAGGCACACACTGTCCCCAGATGCCATGTGACCCCACCTGACCCGAGTCCAATCCGTGGACCTGGTATAAAGCGTCCAGCTTCGCCAGCTATGTTCCCACATACATCCCTTACATACATGCATCAAGAAACTCTGGAAGGATGCTCAATAGGCTGCTGTTATAATCTTTATCTCTGGGGAAGGGGCGGGATGGGAACTGGTTTCTGGGATACAGGGGTGGGAGACTCCACTGTATACCTTGCTATATGTTTAAGATTTTTGAGCCATGTGAATACAATCCTATTCAAAAACAATTTTTTAAAAGATTCTAAAGTACAACAATCACCACAACCAAGGTGACTGACTGCAGGACGGCCTGAAACTGAGAAAGAATCACGGGCGTGAGTCCCCCTATCAAGGACATGCATCAGGAAGCGGGCTGTGCAGGGGACAGAGAATGCCACGAGTCCCAGGAACCTGCCTGTCCAGCCTCCTCAAGCTGGTACCCTGAGAACCTCTGTTCTTACATAACACAATGGTGAGGAAAGGGGGCCCGGGGTCTATCCACAGGTTGGCGGAGCAGTGCTGCCTAAGCCAACCTGTGGGTAGACCACAGCTGAGTCTCGCTGCAAATCTACCATCTACTTCTATACTCCGTGTTTATGCTGCGTGCATTGGGTTGCAAGGCAAGAGAGCTTTCGAAAACCTCTAGTGTTATCTCTGCTGAACTGAGAAAAGGGGATTTTAGACACCTCTGTCCTCACACACCATCTCTAGTGGAACTTGGCAGAAGTTCCTCCGCTCACGAGTCACATTCTCCTTATGTCCCCCAAAAGGAAAGAACAACTCACAGAGAACAGAGGCCCCATTAATTAACTCCTCAAATCATAACCATTTACTGAAAACCTGTTATGTGTTAGACGTGGCACTGGATGCTAGAAGAGAGGGGTGAAACAGACAGAGCTCAGCCAACAATTGCTTCCTGTCTGGGCCACCTTCTTGTGGGACACGGGGGTACATCTTACCCTAAAGTTGAGAGTAAAAAATATCGAGACAGAGATACGTAGGCCAAAATTGCAGAGGGACAATTCACCCTGTAACCTCACTCACTAAGTGTACCAAATTGACTGGTAAAGGACAAGGAAGAAGAGAAAAGCAGGAGAGAGACAGCCGAATTAAAGAGCCTGTGGTTTGTGGTTGCCTCGATGCGGAAAAGACGAAAATCCTCATTCCTGATATCCGGAGGAGGCTGGGGCCTAGAACCTGGCAGCCCGCCTTCTGCTTTTCCCCTCTTTCCTAGGGTCCCTTCCCTGCCAACAGCAAAGCGATTACCTACTGAAATAAAAAATAATCATCGCAATAAGGAACAGTAAACAAATTGCTCCTAGGATGGAGCCTTTTTCTCTTCCAGTTAGAGGTTACTGGGCACTTGATGGGTGCCAGATACTATTGTCAACAACATAATGTGTTTCTCCATTTACGCCTAAAACAGAACCGAAAGGTAGCAGTAATATCCTCATTTTTTAATACACAAAGAAACTGACCCCAACAAGCACAGGCCAGAGATGACAGGTGTCCTGTTGAGAGCAGGGAGCACGGAGCTGCCTGGGCCTGAGTCCTGACAGCCACTTAGTAGCTGTTGTTAGCAAAAGCCAGGGCAGATTCATTGGTCATTCACACTTTCACTTCCTAAACTAGAACTGGGGAATGAAGATGATGAGGATACCTGCTTCTCAGGCTTATCGCAAG